TTATGACAATAATAGTATAGATTTTAAAATAGAAAATGTTATATTTATATTAATTTTGTCTACATAATATGTTTAACATTTCTCTCCTAGCTACAACCGTGCAAACATTCCAGTTTAATATTCATGACTCGGCCCTGAACTGTAACTCATAGCACACACTCGTGAACTTATTGTGAGTAAACATTCTAATACTGCTAAGGCTTGAGATTACATTTAAAAGAAAATCAAAGAGTTCCATTAATTTTATCGTCGAATATTTTATCTGTTTCGATTCTTGCACTGTAATTTTATGTAAATTTTGAGCTAGTCCGCGTATCTGAACACCCATGCTATGAAAGTGGATTCCCAGAACAGCTATGTCTCCAAAACTGTAAAATAAGGTTTAAAAAAGTCTCGTTTTGTAGAATACAACTTAAAAAACAACCTGCGACCCACCTACCCCCTCCTGTACCCCGCCATTCCCTAACCGGCCCCCACTCCTCCCCAACACCTGTCCCCCACAACTCATCTGTCCCGTCTAATTTTATTTTAATGGCCTGGGACGCATTGTTTTGAACTTACGTGCGGTTTTAATGTGTTGCAGTAATGTATTTCCTCCGTCATCATCTGCAAACTTCAATTCTTTTCCTCTTAAACGTGTTGGATGCGGAAATGGGGAGAAATTCCCTAATCAATAGTCACTCAATCACAGGATTTTGTGTAAATGCTTGCTTATAAATTGTCAAAAACCGTCATCGATCCTTGGAGTAGAGAGAAGAGAAGATAAGAGATGAAACTTGATGATTCTTAGGGTCTCATAAGATATTTATCCAGCCCGGGGAAGGTGTCATCCGAGAAACAATTGCTTTATGGCGGGAACATTACACTCTCAGTAGCGTCAGAAATTCCGTCAACGGAACGCCAGCTGGCCATCTCCAGGTCGCACAAGCTTCCGTGGCTAGTCAGCTACAGCTCGTTCCAGAACGTCAAATTAGTAGCGTTTTGAATGTTACTATCGTATCAAGTGTGAACCTAATAATCCCTCCCTGAATTTATTTGCCTTTCCCGGTAAATTGTGTGAACGGAAATAACAGCAGCTGAGCAACATGCGGGCACCAGTGACAGCGCCATCTACGCGTACAGGTGTTCCGTTCCTCTAATACAGAGCTAAGCGCATTGGGTTAACAAGTTACGCTTGTCCAGTATTGTCAGTAGTACAATGACCGATGAGTGCAATACATGGTGGCTCATGATGGCTGGATCTCGAGGAAACAGTCTCAATCAAGAGGACGGTGGTCTGGAAGTACTGGAATGTGAAAACACGTAAATAAGAAATACGCACACTCCTCAATTGGTAGAAAGATGCGAGAAAACGTTCCAATTCGTGTTTAGCTTCCAATAAGTGTACAGCAGTAAAGGAATTCAAGAGCCCATGTTGAATCATATTTTGTAATGTCAGGAGATAATTTAAGCTGCGACCTAACAACAGATTACGAGCCACTGAACTGATTGTGCTTGAGAGGAAATGAAAAACAATTTGGGATATGTTGTACAGACTAAATACTGTTAACATGTAACTGTGCACGTGTTCAGTTGTTTCACTAAACTTTATTCAGCCAGAAAGATTTTAATGTTAACTGAAAATATTTTTTACCACATATAACATGACGAAACTTACTGTATATATTTATTGTTAGAAAAAAACAAATGACATCCCATCAAAAATTCGTTTAGGGAACAAATGAGGAGGGCGCCACTGTATACTACATGATCCCTTGTTCCACTAAACACAGCTAACTCAAACATCACGAGCTACCTAGCCCCTCTTTTGCGGAACATACTTCAATCACGTTTTTTGTCCAGTTTCACTTAATCCATTGAGAAAACGCTGAGATGGACCCTTGTTTTGCTTATAGACATAAAATGTAATTTCACCATCCGCACGTTTTGTTGAGATATCTCCTGCAGGTTGCGGTAGGAGTAGAAGTCGGGAGTAGTCGGTCAGGGTAGGAAGTTCATTGATTGGTTGATTAGTTTTTCCGGGCGCGTCAACAGCCAAGGTCATTAGTCCCGTAAATGTAGTTGATCGCGGAAGGTGGCGGTGGTCTTCCCCTGCTGGATTGCAAGATCGGACGGCACCCTACACATTTACTAGCAGAGTTTTCCCTTCCAGGCATCTCCCACTAACGCACACTGCCCCACCCGGGGCAAGCTCCAAGATCCCGCCTAGTCTCCGGACATGTGTGATAGTGAAGAGCATGTAAGTGAGGATGTAAGGGAGTGAGGATAGTTCGAGGAAGAGGAAGAAATGATCGCGCGCGGTCCGTGGGGCGTTCGTTAGGTTACGTCTCCGGCATACGCCTGGTATTGATTGGATAAACCACGAAAACTACCTATCAGTGCAGCCGCCTGCCAAAATTCTCCCCCAGACGCGGCTAAATTCGACCTCGCTATGAAACTAGAGACGAAAATACTACCGCTGTCGGGACTCGAACCCTAGGACCTCCCAGTGAGAGCCATCGTAATGACATCAATTAATGCCCTGACACACTTAAGACAGAGGGCAAGAGAGTCGGAGGTAGGGTTAGGAAAAACAAAAAATCTAGTGTCACTAGTTTGTCGATGGAATTACTACTTAATTTTCTGACTAATCTGCTAAATTGTCTACTAGTCTGAAGCGAAAATATCTAGTTTTCAGCCTCTCCTATCATACTTGCCACCTTTATTTATAAGTCAACTATGTTTAGTAAGAGTGCAGTGGGATTCTATAGCCCAAGAAAACTTGGGCGTATTACACTTCTCACGTCATTTTCCCGTTGATGCTCAAGTCCTGCTTTCACGTTTTCCCGGTGGCAATGAAACTAGTAATTATCCTGTTTTTTGTTCAGCCGCTCTAATTAATTGCCAACCTCCCACATTTACTACTGGTTATTTTCTTCTTACAAACCTTTTGTGAGAATTGAATAATGTATAAAATTATTTAATAAAAACAAAACAAATATTTGACGAAAAAAATAAGCTTTACTTCAAAGAAAACGGCTGAGAAGAGCAATAGAAATGATCGAACGTTAATTTTCTGCTTTCGATTATTATTTCATTCATCTGTTATTATCTCAGCTGTTATTATCTCAATCTGTAGTTTTGTTATTGCATTGTATTTTATTGGAGAGGTTTGTCGCCTAATTCCATGTTGGGTTGCACCTTATCACAGAATATTGAATGCATTTCACATTATAGTTGAATTACCTGGTATATGCGGTATAGTTTATCAAATAATAGATATTAGTTGCCTAACGTGGAAACTTAGTTTTCAACACTCCCACTGTACACTGGATTAATGTAATGAGTACAAAAAGTTGGAACTGAAATTTCGGTAACCATAAAGCTCAAAGATCTTACAACTACAATTTCCGAGTTTATCAGAGGTTCAGGTTGGGAATGAAAGCGAAATTTCTTTTGTTCAGCTCTTGCTTTTTACGGTAAGGTATCTCAAAGATTAATTAGCCTAACGACAAAAATTTATATATAATTGAAGGAGGTGAATACAGATTAGATTTGGACATGTAACTGATATGAAACTGGACTGGCATGGAAAAAAGTATCACATCCATACACCACGTACACCAAAAAATTATTTCTGCAAATGTTATTCAATTTGTCTTATCCGTCAATATTTCGCTTGTGATAGGTCCTAAAAAATGTAGAGTTCAATAAAGGTTAACATTCGAATCTGCGAATGAGTGTGGACTGATTGCTAAACGGTAAGTGGTGCAGACATGACCCCATGCAGCAAAGTATTGACCCCATGAAGCACATTTACAGTCCGTTAAAAAGCATCTTTACGTGATCGGCAGTTTATTTGTGCGTGATCTGTCTCCCGTCCGTTAAAGGAAACAAATAACTTGCATTTCAAAAACGCTTTCGACCACTCGTGAGGTTTTGCACGGTGGAGGGAAAGGGAATGAAGTAGCACAGCTCACAATTTTAATGTAAATTATACCATCAAGGCCAAAAATAACCGCAATAATAACTTCAAAATAATACTACAAACTCAGTATAACATTAGTACAAATGTAACTGAAGTCAGTTGGGATGTATATTATAATAAATTAATTCAGTACAAAATATTGTAATCCCTCTCATCATATAATATATGGGTACATTAGGGTTTTGTATCACTTATGAGAAACCATTCACACCATAAAATAGCTACTGCCGGAGAGGATATACATTTTAAATGCGCACAAGTTAAAATTCACGCCCGGGAAAATACTTTCGCGGTTTGAACTAGTATTATACGGTGTACTGTACTACACAACTGTTAAAAATAATATGAGAAATTATGCGCTGTTGCAATACCAGTGGTGCTTTAATACCATTGCCGTTGTAATTATGTAACCTAGAACACTTAAAGTCCTCGTCAAAACATGATCTGAATTCTAACATAAATGGGCATTTATGACGTCTTCCAGATGAATATTTCCGATTACCACGTTTTCTTTCCCAAAGCGATGGGCTATTCAGAGGCGATATTTAACTGATAAATTGCTCATGGCGATTTCAAGAACAACGTTACGATATGTAATAAATTTACATATACCTGTCTCGTGATGTTAAACTTGATAAATCCATTGCAAGTTTTTTGTTTATTTCGAGTTGTAACAACCTTACGATGAGAGCAAATTAACATTGAAGCACAACTCGGGTTGCAATGACAGCTGAATAACCATTCACAATGTATATTGTTTGTTTTTTATTATTGCAATAATACAATTTTGGATATAAAATACACTAAAGTGAACAAATGAGTGAAATGGCACAATAGAATGCATAAATGATAAATAGAGATCACTTAAATTATGACTAACATGCATTGTATAAATAATGGTGTCTACGTCGGATACAATCGAGCAAATTACATTGGATGTGTGTTATTTCAATCAAGAAATTGTTACACGTTTTAAGTCTAAAATATTATTTTAATGAACGTATTCAAATAGATGCTTTTGTGAGATTCATACTCAACATCCTTTTCTTCAAATACATTTCACTATAAGAATTTTCCAAACCAATTTTTTTTGCAGTTGGAGAATAGTAATGTAGATCTGTAGTTTAAATTCAAAAATGATCTTCCTCATGACATAAAACGATCAACTGACAACATTCAACTACAACTACTACTACTACTACTACTACTACTACTACTACTACTACTACTACGTGGATTACAACTACAACATACTACTACTACGTGGATTATTTCACGTTGTCAAGAAAGCGCGATCGTTGTTTTATATACACTCCCACAAAAACATATTTACAATAATTATTCAAGTGTCAATGTATTATAGAGTATCAGCTAGTAACAACGATAGGTAATTTCACTTTAGTATGTTATAATGGGGGGAATTCAAGTCACTTTGATTAAAACAGTCAACATTGTCGTTTCATTGTAAAATCACGATAACGGTTTATGTTTTCATGAAAATCTTTGTTTAATTAAGAAAATAACTGAGCAGTATGACTCCTAACTGATGGATTTTTTCGTAATACGTTGTAAATTCAGTCCATGCCTGAATTACAGTTTTCACGAAAAGTTAATAGGCACAGCTTATAAATATTATTATAACGACAACGGTCATATCATGAAACGTACCGTTTACGACAATCGCACAGTGGACTTTTATTGCTCAAGAAATTACTAAAACTAATTTTTGAATGCAATTTCTATCGAAATTACTGTTTTTTAACTAATTATCCGACGGCAAATAATACAATATTTTATCGACTAGTGAACCACAGCGTAGTGAAAATTCACAAAGAAATTGTCGCATAACGTACATTTGCTTTTCATAAAAACGAAAAAAACGATCAAATGTAGAAAATATTCGAAAGCGTGTATTAAAACACGAAACGTTAATAACACCTCATACCGAAGGCAAGTCATGGTGCCCGATCTCAAGGGAAGACAGGACGGGACGTGGCAGAGTTGGGAACTCGCAAATGGAAGAATTGGACGGGAGAGAGGGAGAGAGGGAGAGAAAGGGAGAGAGAGAAATGGAGGGAGGGAGTGAAAGGGAGGTAAGAGAGAAAACGGAGGGAGTGACGGAAAGGGAAAAGAGAATAGAACCCAGTCGTCTATGCTCGTGTGAATTGAACTTGAGAGAAGCATCGTAGACATGGTAAATGGACGTAGTTGTGCAAGTGGGAGACCTTCATAGCAGTATTGACATTTGACTTGCAGCCTGATGATGTCTGACTATATTGTAATAACGACACTTTGAGAGCGGACAGGATTGATAGATTCTGAAACCAAAATATTGGGTAATAAAAACCTCCTGCCGAAGAGTACACGCATAGTGAGCAGCCAAAGGCGGTGACGAGAGAACGAGGTAGACTGAGCTAAGAGGGTGGATTCCGATTCGCCGAGTTATTTGTTAAGCGAACACAAAGGCAGACGACACAGCTCAGATAGTGATGTATTATGACGAATCGGCAACTCGCAGTCAACAAGACCATTTGGATGGATCTAACCTACTGACACTTCGAAATTGGCGCAAATTCCTGTAAATCTGCTATCATTAAAGCTTTTGGGGAAGTTTTCCAAATGTTCATATACAATTACTACTAATAAACGGGATGAATACAATTAGTACTAATAACTGGGCGCCAATACGCACTTTCTAGGTAGGGCTCTTCCAAAGGCCAGTCTCCACGAAAGGGAAAAAAAAGTTGCAAGAGATGGGTCACTCGATATCTGCATGTATCACGAGCGCTGGCTAGTCTGGATGCCTCAAGTCCTTTCTTCAGACAATCAGAAAACACTGCAAGTGCATTGCGTCTTCCATCGCTTCTGATGGTTTCCTCCCACTTGAGAGGGCGGTGGCCATGGCTGCGGCGCTGGGGAGGTGCGACTATCTGCGCGGGGCGGCTGTGGTGCGTGGGCACTGGCCATAGTGCTCCAGCGTCACCTCTGTGGACAGATCCAAACAAGTATTTAGAATACCTGAACAAGGATATAAAATTAGAGTGCATTACGAAATGAGAGGCTAAAAGCACAAGATGACGAAACTTATCGAAAACAAGATTGAAGTATGTATCAAAATTTGCTTTTTTTTGCGTAACTGCCTTCATTTTTTTCTATCCGATTTCTAGCAAGAAAATGCGAAGATAGAAGAAAATATGTTAAAAAGTTTTTTTTTGCTCTAAAGTGCGAATTTTGTTAACAAATTTTTTATAAAAAAGATTCATAAAAATTATTCAAATAATTTTTTTAGTTTTTATTGTAAATAAAACCTCTCTAAAATGTTATTTAAGTTTGGGGAAAGTTATTAAAGTTTGCCATTAAGATATTTCTAGTAATTTCTTGTATTAACGTATAACAATTTGCATTTTCATGTCCCACACTTCAGCATCATTTTATTAAGACACTTCATCGACATTAACAGATAAAAACAGTTGTTTATTACGATGTATTTTACAAAATACATCGTACACATCGTAAAATATATATACAAAATAACGTATTTTAAAAAACAGAACTTCCCAACTGCGAAAGCAAAATTTTACTTTTAATGTTACTTTCGTATTAGAAATCGTATAAAAACGTTAAGAAAGTTTGCCATTTTGTTGTTTTGTGACCAAAACAATTATTTAAAACCCTTTGCAACAGAAAATTTTATTTTTTTAAATTTTTTCGTGATAAAGACATCCGACTGGCGAGTAATTTGAAATCTGAACGGTTTACGAGTTATATGATTCACATCGTACATCGAAGTTTATCGTAACTTGTGAAATATTAAACTTTTTCACATTGAACTCACGCTTTTTATTAAATTTGAAAGTAAACGGAATACCAGGCCATTGAGGAAATTGTTACATATGATTCATATTGTATCTCATTTCTCTTTAATTTGACTATTTCTCCATTCTCTCTCTTGGCTATTTCTAAAATGTGTTATTACTTTTCTACTACTACTTTTTAAATTATCGAAAAAATGTGTGTTTATATATTACTAAAAATGTGTTTTATTACCATGCTAAAATATTTAAAATGTCAAGCTGTACACTGCAAAAGTAATAGTAACTGATTAACATGGCTTGCGCAATAGAAAACAATTTTCTAATCGCTGAGAAAGGCGCAGCATACGGGACAAGGCTGTTCCGAAGAGCCATCGACGAAATGGTAAAGGCGTGAGCAACAGGAGTTGCAGCACCAGACGGCGCGTGACCTTCGTCATTGTCAAGGTCGCACACTCTTCGCAATAGCCGAGTGCGTTGTTTACCTTTGACCTTAAGTGACCGAGCAGGTTGGGTATTCCAACAGCGTGCACTGTTCTCGCTCATTCCTAGCTCATTAACAGACGCGAGAGGAATACACAGAAAGCTAACATGCGAGTACGAGTACTTCAAAATATCTGTGATTCAACATTTCATTTCTCTCCACCTTCGGGACTTACAGTATTTGTTGAACTTCGAATAATAGTAATTTTCACCACTAGAGAAATGGTCTCATAGGGTATTTTTGAAATTTATAATCGACGAATGAATTTTGTTTGTGAATAATATTAACTGATCACGAACGGTGGACGTGAATTGAAATCACTCTTGCGACCATCACGCCACTACCATGGCCCTAGCTCAGTGTGCACGCACTTCCCAGCCGCTACTTTTCCGCCTCTCTGTCTCTGGCCTGCTGTCCTATCCGCAGTCCAGCTTGGAACTATTGGATGGAGATACTGTGAAATTACAATAGGTTACGGTATATGGCAATGGACAGGGTATCGGGGCCACTGCGTAAGAATTTAAAAAAATCGTGCACAACGCGGAAGACATAATCAAAACCCAGAGTTTGCGGATCACTATCAGGCTGCTGGCAGATTTTGGGAAGCGGAAAGAGGCATTCTTGTGGCACGGCGTCGTCAAAGAACCGCAGCAGGAGTCCGACAACAAAAAAACTCTATAATTAAATTTCCCACTGAACTCTAGAAGATGTGAAGATAATGAAGTTACATGTACAGATGCAAAACAAGGGGTCATCTCAGCATTTGCTCAAGGGATCAGGGAAACTGGTTGCAAAACGTAATTGAGATAGAGGTCATTGATCTAGAAGCTGAGGTACAATACTTGTTACAGGTAGTTCAGAATTATACCGTTCTAATGGTAAATAATACATTAAAAATCATTGTTAAAATTAATATTAATTTCCTTTTTGACGCTCAGTGCAGTCTCTAATTGTAGCAGTTATGTAGCAGAAAAGGGATTGCTTGGGACTTCAACTTCGTTATCCACTTAAGCTGCTACCATTTAATTACCAGTAGACTAACCGTAAAAATATAAAATATATTAATTGAAAACGGTACCCCGAAACCCTAAAATATATTAACTGAAAAGGGTATGAGTAGTTACACTATAACTTTAACATAAAAATTATATTTCTGACAGATTTCTTAACCCCCGTCCCACCACCCATATCCCTATACAAACAAAAAAGTGTTTTGTTTCATTTTAATTTTTTCGTCAACTTAACACTACTTTATCTGATTGACAAAATATAAAAAATAAGAAAATTATTCATTCTAATGAGAAAAACATTTTTTTAAACATTTTCTCAGTACCAAATTCAAACCCAAAAAATATTTTTGGATATAATTTTTTTACAGTGTCTTAGAACCCTGGAACAGGCACGAGAAAGTTCCTCCCAAAACACAAATAGTTGTGAAATTATTATAGATTTTTTCAACTTCTGGGCTGCAGTTCAAAAAATAAAAACCATTTTGCTAACATGCCACCACTACTCGCCATATACGCCCTCGCGGTTTAGCTCATTGGCCGGGTTCGATTCCCGGTGCGGCAAGATTGTGTGCCTTGCAATGTCCCAGAATATGTTACTGACATTAGCGACCACTATTGCATGTAACGGTATGGTAACTGTGAGGTTGACACGATATGATGATGATGATGATGATGATAAGGGTCGAAAGGACGAACACAATACAACCTACCCAAGGCGGGACTCGAGCACGCAATCCTTCGGTCCGAGATCGCTACGGCACTACTGCCTTAGCGATCTCGGCCACCGGATCGGCATGTTACCGTGTGACAATGAGAAAACTCAATTCTCAGGTTGAGAAGAGCAGAGTGTAAGGAGTGGGGCCTGGCCCGTTCGCGTTCAGACAGACTCACCGTATCCGCAGCGCTGGGCGCAGCGCAGCTTGACGGGGCTGTTGTAGGTGGCGCCGTTGGAGCCGCACACCGGGTTGTACTCGGAGGTGGCCGGGCACGGGCAGTTGACGGGGCTGCCCTGCACGTCGACCAGCCGGGTGGTGGTGGCGGGCGTGGCGGGCGACGTGGTGGCCTGGCGGGCGGGCGTGGGGCGCGGGCGCGGGCGAGGGCGCGGGCGGCGAGGCGGCTCGTCCGTCGTGAGGAACCAGCGCCAGGGTCCGTCCCCCGGCCCCGCCGGGAACCCGCGCTCTTGCCCGGCAGACGGGGCCACTAAAACATTCACGGAGCATTCGGTGAGTATTCGGCTCGGGGACACATCAACCGCTATTATATCATTAGTCCTGGAAGTGTAGGGCATGCTATATTCCCGGAAGAGGCCATGTTCCTCCTCTGCTGAAACGTGAGATCCGAGACCGCCCGACACGCTTGCGAAAGGTTCTCCTTCGGCCAGCCGAGGGAGCGGCTGTGATTTCGGCCAGCCGAGAAACTTCCAATCTCCCTGTTGGTTTACTGACATCCGCAACACGTAAGTAAATGTATACGTGAGCATGGATAGAAAGATAAGATCGCAGGCTCGTGGCCCCTTTTATGTTCCGGGTCAGTTTTACGCCTGGTATTCGTCGAAGAAAACACGGTACACAACGAATTACAGTAGCCGACCAATTGAATTTTCCTCCCGACAGCGGTTGAATTCTCCACAGCTAGGTATCTAGTGTCGAAAATCCACCACGGTCGGACTTGACCCCTGGTACCTACTGGTCCAACACCGGTCCGTCCGGTTCAGTGCCCACGGCTGTTACCGCCATCTCATCCCGTCCAAGAGACACGATTTAGGTCCCTTTCACATTCAAATATTACTGTAAACAAGACATGAATGCAAATTTGCAGCCCGTTAGTTTAAAAAAATCATTTGCAACGTTTTTTCACCGACAGTAAAACTAGGACTATCATCAGACACTAACATAGAAGCGAGCTCCCAGCTCGCATGTTCACATTTGTGCCACTGAAAGAAACAAAACACATCAATTGTATTCAAAGGAGATAAAATCTAATCATTGAAAACGTTACATGTTTAGTCTTCCGGCATATGCTCATGGTTCTATGCTTGCCCTGCAAGATAGTACAGGCAGGGAAGATATAGCACTAACAAATTTCCTAATTCGAAATAAAAGAAAATTAAGTTCTTAGCAGTGTATGGTGTTGAGTTTATTCACAGGCAAAACATTAGTTGGTGCTTTCGAACATTTTATGAACATATTCAAAAACTATTATTGATGTAATAATTTCTAACAAGCACTTCTATAAGCTTAACAAATGAAAGAATTCTATATATGAAACATTTTTCAATGATGCTTGGATAATAGAAGGAAAATGAATATAAGTGAACACTATTATCAGAGACTCATCTGAAAAGAGTTTTCAGAATTTTTTAACATAATTTAGGATCCACGTATCGCCTGGGCCTACTGTATTGCATTCCCTATCTTCGCAATTCAGTTGACAAACTATACTGAGACTTCCGGAACGCGAAAAAATGATTTTTCACATCTTAATTGTCCTTCCTAATATTTTTATAATACATAATTCACGTAGCCATAAAACAACAATGACTATATGTATTTATTATTTGAATTTAAACATACCTTTAAAATAACTTAATTTAATACACACGCATAAAAATCCTAAATTCATATCATAATTATTGTAAAAATAGGGACAAACTTGGAACTGTCAAATAACGTTTAGG